ATATTTTTATTGATTTCAGAGAGAGGAAGAGAGAGGGAGAGAGAGAGATAGAAACATCAGTGATGAGAGAGAGTCACTGATGGGCTGCCTCCTGCACGCCCCCGACTGGGGATGGAGCCCGCAACCCGGGCATGTGCCCTGACCGGGACTCAAAGAGTGATTGCCTGGATTCTACTGAGCCACACCAGCCAGGCGAAACTCCCTGTTTTACTTGATGGTCTGCTCAGTGTGTGTGCTGCGCGGGGTCTTCTGTCACACCCTGAGAAGTAGTTTAGCCTTGAGAACGGCCATGTAGAGTGGATCCCTCCCAGTGAAGGGATGAGATAATGCAGCTCTATTACTGAGAGCAGCTTCTATTTATTCTCAGTGCCGGAGTCACTGCTGTGGGAATCCTGAGCTTACAGCATCTGCAGGTGCAGAGCTGGTGATTCCTGATCTAGGCCTGTGTAGGTGGCCAGACTGGACAACTTCCTTTGCTAAAGAAAGCACTGGGCCCCTTTTCCATTGTTCATGTCCAGAAGTCAGTATTGACTCTGACTTAGGGAAGACCAGCTTAGAGAACACAGGTTCAAAGTGGACAGGGGCAGGTGGGCAGCAGGCTTACTGTATCCTTAAGAATGACATCAGGAGCGGTTTCTCACTTTTTCATCTCTCTCTCTCACCATCCCCCTTCCCCACTCCTGTCTTTCCTCTCCCTTCCCATCTTCATTTCTGAGCTCTGGCTGAGCTCATGGGAAACTCATCCTCAGGGTGGTTAGAGGCTGGGACTGCACTCACAGTGCCCCATGCTGTGCTCTGTCCAGGAACGGGGGCTGTTTCCTCCTCACGGAGGTACCGTCTGCCTGTCCAATGTGTGCTCCTCGCCCACTGGCTTCCACACTGCAACCGTCTACAGAGCTGTGTTACCCTGTGGTGCAGGAGGTGGACAGTGAGCCGAGGTGACACAACCCTGCATCCCTTGCCACCGCCTGGGGGAGAGGGTGTTTAAAAGAGAGGCTTTAGCATTACTCGGGTGTGGCAAGGCCACAGGTCCACAGACAATTCCCCAGGCAGGTTGTGCTGTGCTCATAGATCTCAAGAGAGGGCTTGGGGAGAGCATACTGGGAGGAGCAGATC